GGTTCCCGTCCAAACGGGAACAAAACCATACTTGGAAATATCAGAATCCTCCAGGAAACAGCATGACCTTTCTCTGCCCGGCTCTTTTCACACTGTACCTCACACTGATTAGCAGGCACAGGAGCAAGGCCAAAAGTTGTCTACACCGTGAACTACTCATTACCCCTAAAGGAAGTTACCCCAGATGAGGGTTGAGAAAGGCTGGCAAACAGTGTGGGTGGGAAGCTTCCCCTGCTGTTGCTATCGGACAAAGAGAGGCTTTCGTCCAGCAGTACAGTCAAGCCAACACCTTTCACCAGCACTAAGCACCCACATATTTTTAAGCTGAAGTGTATGGTTATATGCAAATTATTTGAAATTATGCAAATTGTCTCATTAAAGAATTTGTATAAAATGTCACAAATGGATCTGCACACAAGTTGGCAGCTATGGATACAAATCCTAATTCAAGGCATAAACCAACCACTAAATGACAGCAACTGGGAAAAATTACTCCAGGGGCAGGTTATTCAAGGGGTTTAAACCCGGGGTTTATTGACCCTTCTTCTGAAGAATCTGCTGCAGATCTTTGTCAAAGACAGGACATTGGATTAGATGGGCTGATCCGGTCTGGCAATTCCTATGTCCCCAGGAATAATCAGAGCCCCGTGGCTTTATGGCTACTCTCACATTTTAGGAATGCCCCTTCCACATCCCTTTTGCCAACTGAGAAAGACTGGCATCAAGCCAGAAGTCAGGACACTATTTGAAGCAAAGGGTAGGGGTGAAGTGAAACCTCTGCCCATCTCACTCTATGTCTCCCTACTTGATACAAAACCATTTTACCCTGATATTGTCCTATTTCTGCTCACGTCCTCTAAATGGGCCACATTCCCAGCCACTAATGAGATGCAAAAATGTCTTGATTGAGAGCGGATCTCTTCTTTTCTTATGAAATTACCACCCCCGCCACCTCTCGCATTGCTGTGTTTCATCACTCCACAACACCAAGAGCCACGAGGTTCCACAGCACAACAGATGGCTATATCTGGTATTCTACCCCTCCCTAGCCAATCAAACTCAGACAACATCCCTTGGTGCCCTGGTCTCTTGGGACCACATCAGGCACGAGCACTGCATTTTTAGTGAGCACAGGAAAGCTGGGAGGACTATTGTTTCCCATCCCAATCTTAGCCCAGATGGAGGAAGGATGTAGGAATAGAGGCCCTCATTAGATTTGGATGAACTATGGTTTTAAATTAAGTTGTGATATTTGCATGAGCAAATAAATTCAGAGCACAAAACCGAAAAGTATGAGATCACGAGAAAGAGTTGTGTTAATTGTGTAGGGTCCCCTCAAAATACCAATATTGCCC